TTTTATATATATCTATATATATATATATATATATATATATATATATATATTATGATAAAATTTTCAAGTTAACATTTTTTTAATAAAGTGAATGTCTTAATAACATAAATTCAAATTTAATGTGCATAATCAATAAAATTATCATGCCACGTGGGATATATGTTATCAAGTGGCAGGCGTGACATATATATATATATATATATATTATGATAAAATTTTTAAGTTAACATATTTTTAATAAAGTGAATGTCTTAATAACATAAATTCAAATTTAATGTGCATAATCAATGTCACGTGGGATATATGTTATCAAGTGGCAGGTCTGATAAAGTAGTCAGTTGCATTTTTACTTTGTAACGTGATTTTTTATGCATTTATATTGCTACACACAATATTATGAACAAGCCTTCTATGCGAGAAAAAAATCAAAATTGTGATTAAGGAGTGAAGCAATAGTCGTAGAAAAAAATAAATAAATAAATGATAAAACAAATAAAAAATTAAGTAATAGTGCAACTATTGATGTAAAGTTAAAGATATGACATGAGTGCAGAGCTTGTAAATACGAAAGTAAAGGTGTTATGTGTAACTACATATATATGACATGTGCGGAATGTATGTAAATGGCTAGTTCTATTTAGAGATGCCATACCTAATTAAGAGGGAAATCAAGTGTAGCACAAAGGAAAAGGGGCAATGGTGAGGAATAGAGGGCAGGGGAACATCAAAGGCCCACCAAAGATTTTTGTACATGATTTGATGATTGTGATAAAAAATTAAAGATTAGAATACAAGTGTGTTGATGGCATCTAATTAATTAATTTAATTAATATGGGGGGTAAGTAGTGGAGATGATGTGAATGTATACTTTCTTTCCACTAAAAGATGGTTATGTCATCTTTAGAATGATGAATATTGAGGGAGGGAATGAAATTTTCAACTCCTAGTTATTATTCTTAGGCATAGGTATAGAACATTTGGTGTTAGATTATATTCATTTGAATCAAATATGAAGTCAATGGATGGGGAATATTTTTTGCTTGGTGTGACTTCTTTTCTCTTTTCATCTTTTGACATTTTTTTTGTAAAATAAATAATAATTTTGGAATGTGGAAAGTGATTTTAAAGCAAAAGAATTAGTTGGCAAGAAATTTGTCTTCATTGATTTTCTCAATATTCTAATAATACGAGCCCTGGTTATTCCATATGGGCCTAACAATTCGAATACCACACCCTCCACCGAAGGGAATCAAACCTCAAATCAGACGGGATTTACAACTAACAAGCAGATGTCCGACCAATTGATATGAGTACTTGACGCATGGTCGGACATCTGCTTGTTAGTTGTAAATCCCGTCTGATCTGATGGTTGATTCCCTCCGGTGGATAGTGTGGTATTCGAATTGTTAGGCCCATAAGAAATAATCATGGCTCGTATAATATGTGTGCGTGTGTGCGCGCGTGTGCGCGCGCCCGTACCCCGATCTGTTAGTTGACATTCACAGCATAAGATCCTTTAGGTCGAGAGGTTTGAATCCCCTCTGGCACAATATATAAAGAGAGAGAGAGAGAGTAGTTAATGTTGTTTAGGTAATTACATACATTAAGATAACACAATTGTGATTTAATTTTTAAAATTAGACTTTTATTTATATCATATTTGAAATATCTAAAAATGTGATTTGAATAAAGTCCAAATATATATTTAATAATGTTTCAACAATATTCAATAATAATTCAGAGAGCATTCTAATATGATTTGAACACATACTCTAAAATATAAATTTAAGCATTTTTCTCAAGAAAAAAAATATTTTTCTAATTTTTGCTATCATTATGAGGCACATAAAGTGAAACTTTTATTTGAAAATGGTCCTCTCAAGATTTTGGTATGTTATAAGAAAACCCAATTAAATGTAGATATTATAAAAAAAATACTTACATAAGTAATCCAATGTTGCATGAATAGTCATCAATCAAAGCATTAATTAATGTATGTAGATTACACTTTAATTATGCATTAAGTAAATGAAGCCAAAAAGACTAACAAATCAAACAAAGTGAAAAGGGTAAATGGTGGGGCCATGGATGCTAATTTTTTGTATTTACATATCTACCAGATAAACTCTATTTGTCCATATATGCAGCCTTACCTATGCATATGAAAAAGATGTATTTCACTTTTTTATAAATAGAAAAGGTGGTATTTTCTTTTGAAATATAGAATATTTGGGTGGAATTAATGTAAAACATAAAATTTAGGCGTAGCTATGCAAATAAAGAGGAATTGAGCGGTCTTTACGTAAATGTCCAAAATGTCTGTTGTCAATGATATGGATTCCTGCGGCTGCCTATGAAGCAAGCACTCATGTCGGCACTAATTATTAAGTTGTCTGTCATTAATAAATTACTTTGATTAGTTGATGCCAATTTAAGAAAAAATTAAAATTTTTAAGGAGCAATATGAAATTTAGTTTATTTATTAAATTTTAATTTATTTTTTAATATTTTTGTTGAGAAATTTAGGTCGAAGAAAAATAAGAAATCGACACAATTTCATAAGAACACACAGAGATTTAACGAGGTTTGACAAAGATGCCTACGTACTCGGGAGAGAGCGACGAATTTCACTTTTCCAGAGGAGTTCAGTTACATACTCATAGGGTTACATATATATATATAGACATATGAATAAAAAACCAACAGATAAATTACTAACAAGCCCTCGCTCCCCCCAACCCACTAAATTTCAAGAGACACTCCTCTTCATTCCAGAAGACACACATTTTCATTCCAGGAGACTACCTCTTCAAACCCAATATACTCTAAATTCCTGGTATATGAGTCGTATCTAACAATTTTTTGTTTGAATCGAAATATAAGACAAGTTAAACTAAAGATTAATTATTTTTAAAACACTCAAAATAATTAATACTTATTTTAAGTTTCTAAAAGATATGCTAGTTTATTTTTAAAATAAAAAATAATAAAATACTTAAAAAATATTTATTATAATCTCATATAGTCTAATCTAATCATGTTATAAGCATATAAACTATTTATTATAAAAATTTTATTTGAAATGATCCTGATTTAGTTATTAGTTAAATAATCACTCCAAATCCATCATTAAGATTGACTAATCACCAAACAAACCCCATAGAATAATTTTGGTTGGGATATTAAAATTGTCATTAAGTATAATTAATACTTTACTGTCTATTTACATCCTAAATACTTACATAGGATATAAAAAATATTATTAAGTATAATTGATACTTTACTATCTATTTATTTGTTAATGATTAGTCTCATTAATATTTTTATATGTTTAGGGCAGTTGCATGCTTTCTTAATGACTATTTTATGTTTTTTCAATAATCCCATATTCATTATTTACTAATATTAATTTTTAAGGAGAAGAATAGAAAAAAAAGCAGAGAAACAAACTTGTCATTGAGAAACGAGGAGAACAGAGCTACAGGAAACAACAGAAGAAGAAGATTAATGCTAGAGAGCACAAGAGATAGGTAATGCCAATGAGCTTTTTCCATTAACCATGTAATACATTGTAGGTAGTATATATAAGAGAAGTAGAACTTTCCAGCAACATATCTTTTAGGAACAAAATTAGTCAGGACATTGCCCGCACTCCTCCTTTGGGACCACTTGGACTAATGATTGTCGAAGATGGTGTAGTGAAGCTAATAGCCCTCACGACGTACGCCGAGTAAGCTTTGTTAAAGGAGAGAAAGAGATGTTATGAGATTTTCTACCTTCTGGTTTCATTGATATGTATTACTTCCTCATCTACTATGTTATGCAGTTCGTCTATAGTAGATTATAACTACAAAAACATTGTCGAAAGCATAAGGGCTGGTCTTGGTCATTAGATGATGTTAGACTGAGATGAGAATGATTATCTTCTCTTTTTTGTAATATTGAATTAATTTTGTTAGCAAGTTAATTACTTGTTGTTCATAAGTGCACACTCGTGAGTCTCTCGCTGAAAAAGGTTTAAATCTCGAGGATGAAAACATCAAGACGAATGAGAGGGCATTCATGATGCTCATGGGTCTCAAGCACCTTACTAGAGTATATATGCAATAGTTGGACTCACTTCATCCAACTACTTTTTACAGAATAGTTATTACCACCGACGATAGTATCAGAGGCAATAAATTTTGACCAAATAGTCAGAGTGGAACAGGATGTACAAGCTATAAGGTAAGAGATGACAAGATGTGAGAACTTACAACATTTCATGACTGCACGCGGACTAAATATGAGGTGGAGGATGCATAATAAGACTAATTTATCGTATACATAAATAATTAGGTTAGCTCAGCTAATTTAAATGTTGTTATAAAACATTTAAATTTAATAGTTTTTTCAACTAGTTGGAAATAAAAGTAAAATACAAAAAAAAAAAAAAAAATGGGGGAA